CAGTACTCACTGTGTCATCTGAGGCTTTATTAAGCCAAGCACAGAATAGTGTGGCTGTGTGAAAGCACTGCTTTGTGAGGTTCATTCTTCACACGGGGTTCACTGGTGACTGCAGGAACTCTTCTTTTGCAACCATTTTTTGGTTTGGTCTTGAACAAGAGAGCAAAAGCCAAGCTGGTGGCAGAACTGCAGTGACTTATCCAGGAGCTGCACTGCTCCATTTTTACACTCCTCCTGCTCCTGCTGGGAATGAAAGGTCAGTTCTCTGTACCTGCTGCAGCTCCTGGTACTTACATTGACAGGTATCTGGGGGCTTCAGGGGCTTTTTTTTGTTGGTATTTTTTTTGTTGTTGTTGGTTTTGTTTTATTCTGATTTTTGTGTGGCTTTGTTTTTTAATTTACCATGTTACATAGAGAGTGCTGCAGTATATTGAATTTAGTGCCTACTGGATTTTAAAAATGTTGGCATCAGTATTGTAAGACCTCCTTTTAACATCACATTACTTTGAAAATATATGGATTTTAATTTATATTTCAAACTCATGTTCTCTGATGTGTTGCATATAATGCTTGAGGTTAAACAGGAGGAGTCATGGAGTCTTAACCTGTTTCTGTGTTTAAATGATGCACTTGGAGGTCTCTGCAAATATGAATTCACCCTTTTTTTTATTATATTTAGCTTTTTAGTTCAATGAGTTGTAATCCTGTTACAACAGGATACGGGTAGTTGGAAGACAATATATAAACTATTATTTAAAGAAGTGGCCTGTCTTAAAAAAAAAAACACAAAAAAACACTGCCTCTGCTTTTTTTTGTATAGCTTTAATAAATCTCCATCTTTTGAAGGGTATATAATATTGGTGCAGTAGTGACAAGCAGTGATTGCTGTTTGTCTCTTTTTGTTGTTTTTATTGAGACTTTTCTGTTTTCATAAAGACAGGGCTTTTATCTTCTATGCCTAAATGTATTAATCTTAGATAGGTTTATTTCAGCTTGTGTTTTCAGCAGAAAAATCTGTACTTGGATGGCACTGTAAAAGACAAATCACCCTTGTAGATCTTTTTATTTTTCTGAAATCAGAATGTCAATGCATTTGCAGGTCACCTGCAGAATATCCATAGATGCCTCACTTACCAATTTGTTTTCATTAATTTTAAGAGGATTGCTGTATTACCTCAGTCTGCCACTATCAGAATCACAAGGTGACCATTGCCCTTAATTAAAACATCCAGAGATTTCATTGTGAACCAAAGCCTAGAACGTATATTATGCATTCTAAACAAACATAAAAAGATGGTATTAGACCTTGCTGCAGCCTTTAACTGGAGAGATGTCCAGAAAATAGCGCAATAACTGCTGGAACAAACAATGTAACTGCTGTTTATGTCATTGTGAAGTATTCTTGTGTTTTAATGTTTACTATTGTTTGGAGTGTAACAGTCTTGCATTTGCACATAAGCACGAGCTGCTGTGATAGAGGATAGATCATTGCATTAACTTCAGCTTCTGCATGAACACTTACAGTGTGATTCAAGATGTATCCTAAACTTGTCTTGTAACTCTTGTGTGTTTTCTAGGTAATCGGCTGTAAAGGTTTAGATCTGATTGTATGAATGCATAAAACTGCTGCTTTTGTCACTGATACTTGTTATTTATCCCTTCTATATCCAGGGGAAGATGGGTATTTTTGTAGGGATGGAGTGTATTTTTAAGAACTGTTCCATCCTTTGGGGATTAGACAGTTTTTGCTTTGCATATTATGTGCTTCTCGACAAAAGTGTGGTATATTGACTTTAAGGATTAAATTTGTGTGCATTCAAATCTTCATGGTACTGACGGAAAACTTACTGTGACTTCCAGTGACTAGTCAGATGCTACCTACTGAAACACCAGTCATCAGCTTTTTTTAACATATTTATTAGACAAAACTGAATTAGTTGGGTACTCAGAACTTTGGAAAGACTATTATGCATAAACTTAACTGTTGTATGTAAACTTCCATTTTCCTGTGATGCTGTTAGGCTTTATACAAATATATTTGTAATGTCCAAGTATTTAAAAGCATCATGATTATCTTATTAATTCACTAAACTCTGCTTTGGTTCTGGAGTGAAATTCAGGAAGTGCTAGCCTCCTAACTTTCCGTGGGAAGAAATGTGAAGTGCAAGAAGCCATGCTGTTCTTAACCAAATAAAATTATCGGTGACAGTATTTCAATGTGTATCTGAGAACATGGGAATACAAAACAAAGTTCATCCTTATTGCCCCAGCAGGTAACAATGGTTGCTGTTTGAGTTGTGTTGGGTGCAGTTGCTTGGTGCCAGTGCTAAATTGGTACAACTATAAAGCCTCATTTTCACTGAGCCTCTGCTTGCTTTTTTTCTGCACAATCATGTAATCCTCTGTGTTCGGTCTTTTGAGTACTACATGTGTATTTTTCAGACAATTAGTTTCGAGCAATAAAGTTTGATATTATAAAATGTGCCAGTGTGATCAGTGTTACAATAGCTTAAGCATATATAGAGAAAGGAACTCTTTATTCTTCAAGTCCTCCAGCTCTTCTTAAAGAGAAATTAGATCAGTGTAGCCTCGTTGGTTATGGACATACTGAATCACTTTTTTGGTGAGGAATTGAATGTTTACATGGTTAAACACTTGGAATGAAATTAAGTCACCTTTTTTTTGAATTGGGATTTATATTTTTACTTTAACTGTGGCAAGGCTGGAAATGTTACAACCCAAAGTGCTGGTTTAGGTACCTGTTGGGTGCAGGTACCAAACAGTGGAAAGGTGTGGTATCAGCACAGCCATGGGCTGTAGTACAATGTTGTTGTTAGGCCATATTAAACTTATATTAGAAGTAAGTTGAGATTTAAGATGGTCACTCCTTCTAACAGTGTTGCTGTCTGTTCTGTAGTGTGGATCACAGTCCATTGATGGGAGCTGCTGAGCCTCTGGCTGCACTGAGTCCTGACTGGAGAGCACCCTGTGGAGCTCTCGAGCCAGGTTTGTGTTTCACCCCCAAGAGATGCACTGCACTGTAAGGTGCTGGTGTCACTACAGTTCAGTTCTGGCTGTCAGTTTTTCAGTGGTGAAGGCCTGGCTCGAGCAAAGTCACCTCAGCTTTAGTAGTATGGTGTAGGAAACTTAGAGCTTTTATTGTCTTGTCAGTGATGCTACAGTCTGAAAGACTGATTTCAGCTGTGGAAAGCGTAGCATTTTTATCAGACTGAGTTTGTTACTTCCTAATGAAGATGTAGCAATTAAACGACTTATGGAAGGGTTAATCTTTACTTGCTTACTGAAGAAACATGACACAGGTCTGACAGGAGGGCAGAGTATGATGAAGTACTGACAGGTACCAGGTTGCTATAACAAGATGACCTGCTCTGGGAATTGGGTGTGTCTATATATAGATATTTGAATGTATGGATCTAGGCAGGAAGAGAAAAGTAGGATCTGGCCTAAGCCTATGTAACATCCCGTCACTGTTAGTGTACAAGACCAGGCTCGATGAGGCTCCGAGCAATGTGGTTGAGTGGAAGGTGTCCCTGCTCATGGCAGAGGGCTGGTTATGACATGATCATTAAGGTCCCGTCCAACACAAACCCTTCTGGGATCCTATGATGAAATTTAATTCAAGTTAGGATGATGAAAGAAGTTGGAAGTCTTGCAATTACTCTATTGTACAGAGATTTATTACCTGGATATTACAGAAGTGATGTTTTGATGCAGTTAAAAAGCAAAAGTAGTTTCTGCAAAGTCTCTCAGGAGTTAAGGTGACCCCTCTCTTGGACTGCAGTGGCCATGGCCAGCAGCTGCCTGGCTCCCCTCCCTGGCTGGGCCGATGCCATCCACACCCTCAGCACCACATGCTGCTGCTGTGATCTCGCTGGCAGCAGGGGCTGCTGCTGCAGAGCTGCCGTTGGCATATTCCACCCTCTCAAAGAAGATCAGTAACTCACAGTGCCTGGTCTGAGGGAACAGATCCACAGCCATGGCTCTCACGGGCCGGAATGAGGCTCCTTTCACCCTGTTGGAAGGGGCCCGGCACAGGCTGGACGGGGAAGGGAAAGAAGGGCAGGAAAAAATGTATTAATATTTTAGTACACTGCTCAGCACTGCTGCTCTCTGAGAGGTTCTTCTTCCCCAGGCCTCAATTCCATGACAGGCTTATTAACTACCCCAAATATTTCTATTATGACTTGTGTAATGGGCAATACCAGTCCAAGCCAGCTGCTGCAGCTCCTAGCTGTTTCTGGTGAAAGGATGCCTCAAGGAACATGGCTTGCAAATAAAAATCCAGCAACGGTCCCCCCTCCTCAAAAAACAGTTTTCCTCTTACCACATTTAGTAAGTCAACTTAATGCAAGAAACACTCACTCCACAAAGTTATTCATTGCAGCTCTGGGATTGCAGGAGACATAGATGAGCTTCTTCAGATGTTCAGCTCTTCTGAGGGCAAGAATTACCTTGGAATCTAGATGGTCAAAACCACAACAGCTGTTTACTGGTTCTGTGTGCAGCAAGAGCCTCATAGAGGAATAACAGGTTATACTCAGCATGCACAAAACTGCTGCAATGTTGCTTCAAACTATACCTGAAGCCTTCACTTAATTTATTCCAACTGTGATTTCTTTGGTTCCCCACCCAACACCGTCTAAGAGAACAGACTTAAACCCTCACTGGTGAACTTACGCAGCCCTGCTCGTGGTGGATCTACAATTGTGATCAGGTTCTGAGGAGCTAAAACGTTCATTAGGGAAGGAACAATATCTTCTGCCTTCCCACAATAAAATTCAATATTACTCAGTTCTGTAAGAAAAAAAAAAGATGCTAGCTGAGTACTTGTCTAGTCAAAGCAGCTTCCAGTTCTTCACCTTGGATATTAAGTTTCGATGCCTCAAAAACTCCAAATTGTTTAGTCTGCTCTGGAAACAGCCTAATTTAATTTTAGCAATCGCTGTTAACCTTCAGATGATTTAAACAACAGTAATTTGAGCATTTTCCGTTATCTGGGCTAAAGCAAATGCCCAAGCACACCAGCTATATTAATGTTTTCTTCAGGAGGACAGCTGTGGTTTCATTTCATTTTTACACAGAAATAAATGCTTTACTTTTAAAAAAAGCTGTTCAACTGGAAAATTGATCTCATATGCTAACAAGGTATTTGTTTTCAAGAGCGATTAAGTGTTTAAAGGGGACAAGATCACTATCAACAACATGTAATTCCAGGCTGCTCAGATAAGGTAAGGAACAACTGGCTGTGCTAGAACTACTCCTTCCCAAACAACGACCTCAGCATTTCAGCTTAACTCACCATTAATCTGGGCATTTGCTTTGGCATCCTGCACAGCTTCTTGGCAGAGCTCAATTCCAATTACCTTCTTCACTCTCTGTAGAATCAAAGGAAAAAGATCCCTCTGTGGTCTGTATGTGTGAATTTAAGCATTTTTCATAGCATCAGCAATTAACAGGGACTTTGACTCCTACCTAGGCTGCTCAACACAATGGTGAACTTTCATAATGATGTGGTAAAGCAGCTGCAGGCAGCTCAATTACAAATTAATTCAAAATATTAAGATATAATCTGTTGCATTTCACATATATTAGTGTTTTCTTCCCTTGTAAGCCACAGTTAAAAATAGGTAAAAAGTAGCTTCTATCCAGGAAGAGAAATTGCCTACCTTTGCTAAAGAAATCCCAATGGTTCCTGTCCCACAACAGATGTCCAGCACGGTGCTCTCTTGGCTCAGTTGTGCCCACTCCCCAATGGCAGTGTACAACACTTCTGCAGCTTGTGTGTTCACCTGGGAAATTAAGTTTCCAATAGATCTACTTCATAAACAGTAAGTATGTTTTAATGAGTCTTAGTAAAGCATGTTTTCTTTCTAAAAAACAAATCATTATATGTTAAAAAACACTTTTTAAAGTGTTGGAAGGGCAGAGATAAGTTGTAGAAAAGCAAACAAAAATTAGTAATACAAGACTCCTGAACTCTATTGCATGTTCAGTGTTACAAAAGGCTGCCATGAAACAGGAGGAAAATGATAATGAACTAGTAAATAGAAAAAGTTGTCTTCAATGTGCTCCCATCAAGTTTACAGCAATTCACTGCTTTTACACCCAAACGTAACACTGCTATTTAATCACACCAAATATATAAAAGGTTACACTTCTAGGTATGTAACATCTTGTTCCACAGTATTAGTCAAGTTCAAGAGCATTCATGCAGATCCAGTTAAATGAGCAGCTTCACATCATCCTTACTTGAAAAAATGCATGAGGAGAAATTCTAAATTTTAGGCCAAGGAGTTCTTCATATATGTACTTATCACCAGCCACATGCTCCAAAGGCAAGTCTTCTATATTGGGAGATTTCCTGGGGGTAGGGGAGGAACCAGGAAACAACATAGAGAAGGAGAAACAAAACCGAAAAAAGAACACAAACATGTTTGTTACAATCTTTACCAAAGCTGAAATCATCCTAAAAGCTGCAGTGCTACATCCTAAGCAGTAACATCTATCATCTGCTCTTGGAGACTCTCCTTGGCCATTAATGTCTCAGAGTGTGCAAGGACCTCCACCTTCTGTAGATGAAGATGGTGTGAGCCTTGTGCTTGCTTTTTCCATCTCCTTGAGGATAGGGAGATGGAAAAATTCACATAAATAGGGAAGAAAGGCAGAAGTTATTTGATAATAACAAACATTCATCTATTGCAGTAAACACTTCTACAGCTTGACAGGCAGCAATGGCCACTGGGTTCACCCACAAACTCTTGCTGCCTTTATCCAGAGAATGGGAAATTTCAGGAGTCTCTTGTGGAAAAGGCGAGTAACTTCAACAAGTTAGTAGTAACTGTTGCTACTTCTATGAAGTAGACAAAATAATGCTATGAAATTTGCAAACACCAAAAATCCAGCCACCACCAAAATCCCCCAAAGCAAAGTCAACCCCCTCACCTCTGTCCTTCCTCCACAAAGTACAGGGAAGTAACACCACTGCTCTTTCCCGTCCCTTCTGTGAAGTATTTTGCCAGAGAGATTTTCAGGTCAGCTAGCTCTTCTTTACTCAATTTCTAAAGTTTTCATTTGAAAGAAGGGAGAATAATAGTTTAACTGACTTCAAAATATGATTTAGTGTATGCTTTAAATAAGAATATTACTTGTTCATTTCCATGTATCAGATTAGTCTAAAAAGAGCAGTAAAGCAAGGTAAACCACACCAAGTAATTATTCTATTTCTCTTTTGCATGCACAATTCATAACATCAAATATAAGTAGTTCTAGAGCTGTGAGTCTGGGCTGCCCATGAGGAATCAGTGAAATACCTGGGGGTTGAAGTAAGCAATGGCCATGAGGTGGCCGCTGCGGCTGGCGCGCACCGTCAGCTGCTTCCAGTGCCCTTCGTACGTCTCGGGGCTGTACACGCTGTAAGGAGTGGACCTGCAACGGGCACAAGCTCAGTTATTTACACACAGAGTTCTTTTCTTGTGTAGCATTAAACATTCATTGAATCAAAAAAAGGTCACTATGCAAAGTGATGGAAAAAATGCTGAGTATAAAAAAGAGGGTACATTGATTGGTCAAAGAAAGAATGATGGATAGCATCTCCTAAAGCAAAATCATCTGTCCCTCCTTCTCACAATCCTCTTAGCCGTTTAACACATGCTAAATTACAGAGGCAAGAGGCAGCTTCTCACTGCATTCAGAGAAAGACTTTCCATAATGTTTTCATTAGCTTCTCTGCTTCATATCAAGTTTAAATCTTCCATCTTCATGATTCTTCTGAGGTTTCCATTTTTGGGTATTTAACTGCTTTTTAAAGAATGTATCCCTTTTTCTAAAAAAGCACTCTTCCTTAAATGTGCAAGTTTTTTGTTTATTCCTTTCTGTAGGATGATTGTTCTACTCATCCAAGGAAGCAATGGACTTGGTTAATTAATTTCTCCATTCAGAAGTGTTTTTCTGAGTGCTTCTTTACAACTAGTGGAAGAAGCTCCTGAGCAACACACACTTTGTACTGCAGACTTACACATCCCATTGCTTGCAGTGAAGCTGCATTCAGCTGGGACCTGTCCCCCATCTCTGAGCAGCTGAGCAGGAGCAAGGGAAAAACTCCCCATGATTCAGGCACAAGGTGGAAACAAAGAATTGATGAAATTTGAGACTGGTATATCTTAGATCTTAAAGCTCAGAACAAACACTAATTAAATTTATAAATATTTTTGATTAAGATATTAAAACCTTTATGGATAACTCATTTTACTTATGCTCACCTTATGTAGTCTTGGAAAGCTTTTACTACTTTTTTGGCAATAGCAGGAATGTGAATAGTATCAAATGGCTCCACTACAGCACATGTACCACCCTTATATTTGCCAAGACGACAACCCACAGTTTTGTCTTCTTGATTTACACCAATCCCAATCAAGAACTCACATTTGTTGCGATATCCAGTCTAGATTTAAAATAAAGTTATGTAAGATATTTACACAGCATTTATTTGTACATGCCAAGTTTCTCCTGAAACAAATCCCACGTGGTTAAATGCATTTGAAAATGGACACGAGACATTTAGATCGTATGGAAGATACTCATGGATTTTGATGTGTATGAACTAACAGTAATAATGAAAAGGTATTAGTAAATCTTGTTATTTAGAAAGAAAAATATTCCCTCTGTTGAGGAATGCATTAGCTTACAACACAGGCTTGCAAGGACAGCATATTCATTGACTGGTTATTATAACCAGTTATCAATTCTTCCTGTTAATATTTCCAAACAGTATTTACAGGAAAGGCAACAACATTTAAAATTCATCATTTATTACAAGATGAAGTCGAATATTCAGTTTGTCCACTGTCTCTCAAGCCCAAATAATGAACATAACCCTCAGCTTATTAACCCTGTTCCACACTTTACCTGAGATTACATTACCTGTAAGGGTGATGCTTTCACTCCCTCCAATGGGCAACATAATTTATTAAACTTCTGCTTCTGCAGGAACAACCAGGGTAATAAAGCTCTGTTGTTATTTCCTATTTCCCTGCCCAAATCAGAAACAAAAAGTGTAAAGCACACATTTAGAAAAACTGAGATCAAGAGTTGCACAAGACTTCTTTTTTGTATAGGGCACAAAAAAGAATCAGATTATCACACGGAAGAGTGTTTCTTCCAGAATTTTTTAACAGGCAAACCCTCTCCAGCTTCCTAAGAGCTGTAACCTGAAAAAGTAACGGTTATATGTAGTTATAATGGCTATGTATTGGATTTATCAACATACCCATGCATGATAATTAATGCCAGTTTTATCCAAGGCAAGAGACAGAAGTGATACTTTGATCCCCAAAGACCAAGCATAAAATTCTGAGGGGATTTTAAAAGAGAAAGTATTTTAAAAGACAAATTACTGGTAGAAATTTGTCATCTCTACAGTGATTCTCTGTTGCACCCTGTGACAATACCATTTTTAAAGGCACAAGCATCCTTCTGTTTATGGAACAACAGACTTTAAAACCAATATCCCTTCATTAAGCAATCTTTTGAAGCTGACCAAGAACATCAATAGCAAGTTTTGACAGATGGAACAGCTTTTAGGCTGTAGCATCCCAGATTATCTTGTAATTACTTTGACAGGGGATCCGAGTTTTGACCTACCTCTAACTCACTTCAGTTTAGAGGTATCAATTGGTGTGAATTTAGCTATATCCCATCACAAGGCCAAGTCTTGTACACATTACGTTACAAACAGCAATTACTTTGTCAGCCTCTGCAGCACTTGTTCGCACTCCTGCTTCTTCTGGGCCAGCTGCTCCTCGTAGGGCACGTTCCACAGCGGGGTCACCACATCCGCGATCCGTTTGCTCAGAGGCTCCTCTTCGCAGGGAGCCGAACGTTTCGCCTCTCCCTGCTCCGAATCCTCTTCTTGCTTCCTCTTCTTGGCGATGGGGTCGGCTTTGGGCTTGGCCAGGCGCACGCTGAGGTGGCGGCTCTTCCAGAGCGCGCCGTGCAGCACCCGCATGGCCTTGTCCCGCTCCTCCTCGCTCTTGAACGTCACGAAGGCGAACGTCTGCTTCCCGAAGAGTTTTATCTTGTGAGGACTGAGCCCGTACTTGGCAAGGAACTTTTTCACATCATTAAACCCAATGTATTTGGGCAGGTTCTGTATCTCTACTTTATAGATCTCGGAGGTGAACAAGTCTCCCTTAATGTATCTGTACACGTCGGGACTCTCCGCGGGGTCTTGCCCAGCCTGGCTGTCCGGCTCAGCCCCATCTCCAGCCTCCGCCACAGGAGCCGTGTCGCGGTCGGGGTGGCAGCGCTCACCTTCCTCCGCCATGGTCCCGCTAGCCCCTCAGCCACCCACCCTGAGCACCTCCCGGGGCGGGGCCGTAGCCTCACGGACGGGCCGCTGCGAGGAGAATGACGGAAGACGAACGATCTGGTTGTTTTTTAAGCGCTGCCCCTCAGCGCTGCCGCTCCTCGCGCCCGAGAGCACCTGCGGCCCTTGAACACATTAAAAACAGCAGCTCACACATCACCCTTTCCCTCACGCGGGCGCCATCTTGAGCCGAGACGCGGGCGGCCGCCGCCATGGCGCGGGGGCTGATGGGAAAAGCGCCTGGGAAACGGGACAACAAAAGCGCTTCTCGTGGGTCGGTCCGGGCCGCGCCGGCGGTCGGTACCGGGAGTCGGTGACAGGACCGGTACCGGGGCCGACTCCGGGGGCCCGTGGGGGGGATCGGTGTGACGGGGCCGGGGCGGGCCGTTCATTGCCCGCGCCGGGGGCGGGGCGAGAGCGCGGGACTGGGGGGGAGCGGGTGTTTCCCATGGAGCCTTGCGGCGGCGCGGCGCGGGCTGCGGGAATGAGGTAAAGGCGGGCGGGGCGCGCGGCAGGAAGCGGCGAGCGGAGCGCGGCGACCGGGCCCATGGCGGATACCGTGGTGAGGGGCAGCCGCGGGCCGGGGGCCGGGCCGGGAACAGCGAGGGGGAGAGGGCAGCACCGAGGGCCGGGGTGGGAGAGTAACGGAAACAGGTGGGGCCCGGGCGGGGGGGCTGAGGCGGGCGGGGGGAGCCGAGGTCGGGCAGGGCCTGGGGGGGGACGGACGCTGGGCCTTGCAGGGAGCTGGAGCGGCCGCGCCCGCGGGGCCGGAGATTTGTGGCCGCTCCGGGCACGTGTGGCCGCTTGGGTCGGCCCCTCCACCCGCCTTGGCCGCTTCCCGGCATGAGGGAGCCCGAGTGACCCGGGATCTTTCGGTAGTCCTTCTCCCCGTTTCCCTCCTTTCTTCTTCTCCTCCCTCTTTCCGCCCTTCCCCCGGCCCGCTGGCCGAGCCCCTCGTGGCACAGCAGTTGCCCACGTGCTTTTTATATCGCGGCAGGGCGGGATCGTATCGTGATAGCGGGATCCACGTTCTCGCATGCGGCTGCTGCGGATTGTGCATTTCTCGTGGTCTGTGTAATTAATTGCTCAGGCGCAGAACGCGTGATGAATTACCATGCGGGATGTGCTGCTTACACAGATGGATACAATGTGTAAAAGTTTGGCTAACATTTCTTTTCCTGTTTTTTGGAAACAGATGTGACGTAATGCCTTTCTCGCTTTTTTTCCCATGCTGGAACACTGAGGACATAAAACTGGCGATACCTTGTGTGACGTTGTTGAGACAACTAGTTTTTATTTTGCACCGTTTTTTTACCTAATTTTTCCTCGCCTCCTCTTTTTTCTTTTGTTTACTATTTAGTAAATATAGACTACTTTATTTCTGTTGCTTTATGCACACGTGGTGCATACCTGTTCTGTAAAGGACATTGTGAATAGAGCCTGTAAGAGTGGACTCTTCCATTTGTAAAGTAAAAATATTATTTAAATGTCTTCTACGTGTAGACTGTTTATCCTTTCTGCTACTAAAGCAGCAACAAAAAAATCCCAAACCCAAATCAGTTCTCTTGACCTGAGATAACTGTTCTGTGGCTTTGTTAAACTTGCATATGAATCTCCCTCCTAGGCTTGTGTGCTGTTTCTTAGCAGTCCATATGTATGAAGACCTAGAGATGTTATCATTTACCTACTAGTGACATAGTAAAAACCATTCTTAAGCTTAATGAATGCTCTGACAGATTCCTAAACAACTTAAGTCGAAAGTATTATTTTGGCCATTTACCTTTAACCTAAATTCCTTTAGGAGTCTTAAAGCAAGAAACCTAAATTATTTCATGAGTGTTGCAGCTATGCCTCAAAATATCTGACTGTGTTGATTGTGGGTGATTCTAATGCAGAAGGCAGAATGATGAACTCAGGATGCAGTATGTCCCTTAAGCTGGGTTAGGTGGATGTTGTTTGGGTATTTTTCTAATTTTCCCATTAACACTGAGTAATTAGGCACTAAGAAATAGTAGGGTTTTAGTAGCATAAAACACATTGCGTAGGAAAAATGGTTGAAGAAATTATTTTTCCATAACCAAGAGCTATTACTCCAAGGCCAAGCCTGTGCACAATTCATGAATGGTAGGATTAAAGCACCTAGCACTGCATGAGCACCTTCTTGTTTCTAAGTGTAACTGTATGATGACGTGGAAGTTGTTTGTTTTCAGGTATAATCATATTTCTTTACTCTTTATGGGTTATTTCAGCTACTAAGATGTAGTTGCTGAAAAGTCATAAATGTTTTAAACACAAATGTGAGTACTTCAGGGTTTGGGCACATAGCAAGTTTGTGTTTGTTTGTTTTTTTTTTTCTCCTCAGGAAGTACATGAGGAGCATGATACTTCTACTGAAAATGCAGATGATTCTAATCACGATCCTCAGTTTGAGCCTATAGTTTCCCTTCCAGAGCAAGAAATAAAAACTCTGGAAGAGGATGAGGAAGAACTCTTTAAGATGTGAGTAGAATATTTCTCACTATTACCTGAATATTCATTAGGCTTCAACTTGACAGTGTTCATACAAAGCTGCAGCAATCTGTGTGAAGGGGTAATTGACTTGGTCTGCACTCCTATGGCAGAGATGAGTGGGGGTGATTGATGTTGCCCCAAGAAAATGAAGTCTGGAACCATAGAAGTGATCTGATACTATGAATTTGGCTGTAGCATTGTTTGCACAAAAGAAGACAACAACTTAGGTAATAATTATTGAAATAGTGATCACAGAATGTGAAACAAGTGTCTTGGGAGGAAGGAAATGAGATGTACATGGTGTTGCTGCCATGCATCCCTGGGTAAAGGGTGATGTACAAGGTACTGAAATAATAAAAGCAACAGCTGCAGTACAGTATTGGGGCATTTGTGGCAGTTCCTATCTGTTGTCTTCAACATAGTTTATCCTTAGATAATGCTAATTGTCACATCAGGATGGCTTGATCTTCCTGAAGAAAAATGTAGTTTAAAGGCTTAAAAAGCATTTTGAATTTGATCCCTGATGTGCTTGCTTTAAATAGGTTAAAAAAATTCTGCTTTTACTTAATCACAGAATGGTATTGCTCATCTGAAAGAGAGATTTGAGTTCTCCTTGTACAGATTCTGATAATAACTAAAGTGATGATCAGTTTCTGACAGGTAATGTGGTGAACTCTGGCTATAGCAAAGCCTCTTAATTATCTATCTGAATTTAAAAGGTTGCCTACACCAAATATGTTTATCATCCTTATCATCCCTAGGAGTGTCCAGAACTTGTTGAATTTTAGTATAGTTAATACATAAATCCTAGTATTTTATTATTAGATTTTAATTTATCATATCAGTTTCTGAATTATATATTGAAGTAGAACAGGGGATCTTAATAAAGGAATGGTTTTCTTCTTGTGTGTGGCTTTTAAAAAGAACTGTGCTGTTTGGTCAGGTGTGGTGTTTTAATGAATGTTTTAATACATGTAAGCTAATTAAATTTTCTGTTCTCCAAGGCGAGCAAAGCTCTTCCGGTTCGCATCTGAGAATGATCTTCCAGAATGGAAAGAACGAGGAACTGGTGATGTGAAACTCCTGAAACACAAGGAGAAGGGAACGATTCGCCTCCTCATGAGGAGGGATAAAACCCTAAAAATCTGTGCAAACCATTACAGTATGTTGTACATTGCTATACTTACTCATGATTTTAAAAATAAGCTTGTAGAATTTACGAATGATTGTCTTCTGCTCTTCATACAAGGCTTCAGGCATCAAAAACCAGGAGGGGTTATTTTTAGTAATGGAAGGAAGCTGAAGGTTTTTTCCTTCAGAGTCTGATAGTGCTGTAAGACTAACTAAAGTCACTTTAAAATTTATCTGTGATAAACAGGCATTATGTGATTGCTTCCAGTGTGTGTGCTTTATTTTAATGATTATTAGAGTGTAGAACATGTAGGCCTTAATACTCTTTGGAATAAGAATTTAATGTATGCTGGTTTGTTTTTGTAAAAGAGTGAGAACAACCATGATGTAATAATTTACTACTTTGAGCTAAATGTTTAATTTTCCAAAATCAATCCTTAACCATCAGAAAACAGAGACTGAGGTGCTAAGCAGATCTGAGTCTGCCTTTCTCTGCTTGTGAAATAAACTGAAATGAACGTGTTATATTGGGCTGACTCATTCAAAAAAGAATCCTCTTTGAGTTTAAAAAACATGAAAGAGCAAGACAGACTTGAAAGTCAGCACAACTTGCAACAAGTAGACCAATTTGGTGATACTTTGCTTGCTTTGATGATACTCAGATTTTTATGTGAGGAGTCTATAGTGTTCAGTGGAGTTAAACTACATTTAGGTAGCTTGAAATAAGAAGTAGCTTAGTGCAAACCTCAGTAATGCCACCAGCCAGCAGGAATAAACCTTTTGTTTAGGGAAATAAATGTTGCACATGGCAAAACAGAATTGATTAATTTATAGTATTTGTGTCAAAAGTTGTTTGTTTTTTTTCCTGGAAAAGCTGCTCTCCATATAGATTGGTTTACTGAAGTTTTGCTGACTCACAGTCAGACAAAAGAACTCTCTTCATTTTTGCAAAGCATTAAATGGAGCAAAATGTATTTTCATCTCCAGATGTTAAAAATGCAGGGAAGGGAGTAGAGTCTTCAGATTTCTCCTGAGCTAGACAGGGCCCAAGGAGAAAAAAAAGCCCTGCTTACATTTTGCCTGTCTGTAATGTAAAAAGTCTTAAGGTACTGTGGGAAGTAACATTTCAATTTCTCCAGTCAGTCCAGTGAGGTAACTGTAGTGTCTTGGAGGGACAGGGCCTCATTTACTGGGAGGGAACAAGCAGATTGAAAAGATGCAGTGTATGCTTTGCAGCAATTCAGAATTCTGTAATATCTTGTAGTACAGCGTTAAACTGATGGGAGAGGTAATTAACCTGATAACTAATTCAAGGAATAGTGCTTTTTAAAATTAATTTTGGTAGTAGTTTTGGTGTGCAGAAGAAGAATGAGTCTTGTTTGTCTGTCTGGATACCTTTTCCTCTTAAATGATTTGCCTGTACTTCAGAGCTGTGCTCAGTGACTGCATCTCTTAGCACCACAGTCATCTGTTTTAAGCCAAAATTTAATCCAACTCTTTTTCCTAACACTAGTGAATCCAGCATCCTCTCACACAGTAGTGTCCTTGCATAATTTTATTTGAGGTTGTAAGGAAAAAAAATATGAACACCACTGTCTTGTATTTATCCCAGAGAAATTCTGTGTCAAGTGCTTTATGTAACCATTGCAGCCTGTTGTCACTGAAATTGATGAAGGCTGGTGTGGAAAACATTTGCTGTTGTGTTCTGTACATCTTTTAATGCTTTCCTTTCAGTCACGCCCTTAATGGAGCTGAAGCCTAACGCTGGCAGTGACAGGGCATGGGTCTGGAACACACATGCTGACTTTGCAGATGAAAGCCCCAAGCCTGAACTCCTGGCAATCCGATTTCTAAATGCAGAGAGTGAGTAGACTGGCACTGAACTTACACTCATTGTAAACTGTTATGTTACCCTGCTTGTCTAAATGCTGCTCTAAACCATTGTTGGAAACGTGCTGTATCTCACCCCTGCGTGGTAGTGCTAGCTAATTAATTTTTTATCTGAGAGAAGTCTGTTAATCACTTAACCATATCTGTTGACAAATAGTATAGTAATTAGGTCTGCAGTAATATTTGTAGTTCTGCCCTAGGCACTTTTTTAACCTAAGCCATTTCATGTAAGTGCAATGCCAATTAGAATAAAACTAAAGGCAGTTAAGAGACTCACATACAACTTGCTTTCATGTAGTTCAGGTGCTCAGTTAAGATTAGATTTTCACATTAGAAACAAGGAAATCCTGACCTGATATTTCTGGTCCATCTGCATTAACAGAACATCTGGGTTGGTTTTTCTTTACTTAATGAATTATGTAGTATCTTCTTTGTTTTGATTAAATGGAACTCTTAGTGGAAAGTGCTAGTTAGACCCATCATACTAGTTGGTGGGATTTTCTGGAGTGACTACACTGAGTACCAGAAAAGCAACTCTAATAATGGATTGGCTAGGATTGCATCAAAGAAAAGTTTGGAGGCAGAGGAGGTTTATGTTGGTTTGGGGTTGTTTTTTGAAGAAGCAGAATGAAAAAGTGTCGCGTTTTTTGCTTTATGATTTGCCACACAAGTTTAGTGTGGTAGCCTCCTTTTCTCTTTACTTTATAGATGGGTCACAAAGTGGTTGTGTATTTTAAAACTTGATGGATTTGACTACATCAGGAAAGAACTTAGTATATCTTGCTTTAAGTCTCCAGTGTCATTTTGTTTAGCCAAATAAACCTTTTTGGTCCACCTGCTTAGTGCTTGCTTCATGATCAAGTGGGAAATGAAAGGGTAACTATTTGCTCATCTCTGGAAAGTCTTTCCCTCTTTCTGGTAAAGGCTGTGCTTATTGAATGTTCTGTCTTTAGGGACTAGTCCTTTCTTCCTGTTTTCCTTTTGCAGTACTGATTAAGGAGATGACAGGTGAACAGATGTAAGTTTGTCCTTCAGGTGTCTTTCCTGTTTGAGATCCTTGAAAAGAAATGGATAAAAACACTTCCCAGACTAGTTACAAAGTGCCTTCAGAATTCCAGTGGGGCAACAGTGACCTCCTGTGGTCAGACAGACCAGCCTGGGATAGCAGGCTAGTACCACCACCGTCGTTCTGGTGTCCAGAACTGTCCTTGGCCAGTCCCTTGTTGCTTGTATTAATTGTGTAGAGACATTATTGGAGTCTGATCAGCTGCTTGGAATGGTTGCTGAAGCGAGTGGTGGCTTAGACCAGAACTTAGTGGAGATGATGCATTGTTGGCTTTTGCAGTGAGGGTACAGAGTCTGAATGCTGTACTGGTGAAACAGGCATTATCTTCCTTTGCTGATGCTAGGAACCCCCCGTTCTGGCCAGGTTGTGGAAGACTCTCAGGGTGTAACATAGCTGCCAAGGATAGCAGTTCAAAGCTAATCTTCAGTCTTTTGCATACAGATAATTGTATTAGCAGTCTCTGACATCATTTTCCTATTCCTTTAGGCTACAGCCAGCTGGGAGTTGCAATAACTACAAAACAGCTCCTGCTGGCATTACATTTTGAATATTTTGCAAAATAGGCTGCTTAAGTAAACTTGCTGAAGAAGGGGAATTGCTTTTGCACAAAGATGTGATTGAAGAATTTTGCATCTTGTATGATTTACTAGATTATTTCATAAGTCTGTACAAATTTTGTTACCACAAAGCTTCTCCTGGGGTATCTTACTTCAAGATTAGAAGTATTCAATGTTTTGAGGCAGTAAAAGTAATGAAAAAATATTTTATCTTCACTGAAACAGATGCACAGAAATTCAAGGCAAAATTTGAAGAATGCAGGAACGAAGTAGGCAAGAAAGCAAAAAAAGGTAAGGTAGTCTCAGTTTACTGAGCCACATTTCCGAGCTGTGTGAGCGGTTACAGTACCCTGGAGTGTCGTGTTCCAGCAGACTCACTCTGTGCTGAACTGCTGCCTTCAGTTCAGCTGCTTTTCTGTCTGCAAGAGTAAGAGCTCACAGGAGCGACGATGGCCTTCTTTCCTGTGGAAGGCTGTTACAGTTGCTGTTGGGACATGGCTGCTTTGGAAAGGGTGCCAAGGAAATATTTATGGCTTGTAGTATACAAATGAACTGTGAACACTGCAACCACAGTGCTCTTTCTCCCTTTCAGGTCCCTTTCCCAAATTTCGCAAATGTGTAATCATGCAAGTATAATATTTAATGTTTTTTGTAGTTGTTAGTGTGTGTGAGGTTGTTCACAAGTCTCTAATAGAGTATTGCACCTCCTTTTAGAATTACCATTGTGATGAGGTATCTCACCATGTAAAAAAAAAGTAAACATTTCTATCTTTCTTAAGTATAGACTACCAGTGGTCTGCAGTCAGCATTCTTCAAGATACTTAAATTGGAGTTTTCCACTCATAGGAATTCCTGTGTTCCAATTTCAAACTGGGGAACTTGACTTTGCTTTTTTTGGTTAAGATTACAAGAAGCTAAGGGCTTGTCTGGATACTTTATTGGTAGCAGCACAGCTAGCCAGATGTTGCACATTCTTCAGTCCCTGTGATTAAGCCCTCATGTAGTGATTAACAGATACAAGTGGTGTTTCTTGAATTCTGACATCTGAAGTAATTACCAGAGGAAAAGAAATGGAATGAGTCACTCCATTGGTCAGTGGAGAGTATCTTTATTTTTGTCCAATACCAGCTGTCTTCTCCCAACCCCCTTCACCCTCTGCTTTACTCTTTCTAACAGGAAAATCCATTACTGCCTGTATGTAATACTTTTCCTAACCAATCTTTTAGCAGGCACAGACAAAAATGATAGTGCTGATAAAGTTGCTGAAAAACTAGAAGAGCTTTCTGTAAAGGAAGAGAGCAGGGAATCTGAGAAGAAAGAGACCAAGGAGAAAACTGAAGAAAAGCAATAAAATCATCCTGGGCCTTGCAGTTTTTCCTTTACTTTTTCCTTTTTTTTTTTTTTTCTTTTTTTTGTAGTTTTCTTTTGTTGTTGTTTTTTTGTTTTGTTGTTTTATTTTGGTTTTTCTTTTTTACAAGGGACTTTATATGGAACTGAATTCAACATTCACATTGTTTTTTCTAAGCTTTTGCCCTTTGGAAGATGTCTTCAGAAAATTTCATTCCCCAGTCATGAAGATGTACTGTGCTAACTTTCTTTTCCATAGTGGAAACACTTATTTATAGTCATCCTAAAGAGTGAATAAAACAAACTTGAAAACAGCATCAGGGGACAGAACTGAGTTTTCTGTATACTGTAAAGGCTTATGAATACACTTGTTTAATTGAGCTACATATCATTCCTGTGGATTAAGTAGGTTAACAGACTTTGTCATCAGGGAAGATTAGGATTGCATTTGTGTTTCTTATATGACTTCTAAACTAATCTAACAGACCTTTCACACTGCTGCTGTGTGTACCTGAGCAGGGAATGTGCCTGTGCTTCTTGAAATGCAGCAGACTTCTGCAATCAGGCAATATGAACATTCCTGGCACACTGCTGATGATGACCCATCAGACAGTGAAAATAAAGGTGGGGCACAAAATTGATTATGTCAGATTTAAGAAGCAGAACAAAAATCTGTGCTTCCCCCCCCACCCCAAATTTGTTCATAGTACAAAGGCTCGATTCTAGCAGAAAGCTCCTGCTATTGTCCCAGATCTTCCACGGTGCTGTTTGCTGACTGAAGGCAGCAGCCTGTTCCACTGACATGTGTGCAAAGGAATCTGAGCTGTCTGAGTACCTTGCTGTGAGATTGCCCTTGCCAGCATATTGTTGTAGTTTCAAGAATGTATAGGTCTAAAATGTATTCAGCTTTTTTTTCCCAGGGATTTGGAGCTCATGTTTTTACAAACTGGAGGAGTTTTGAACTTCTCAGATGTTTGGCAGGGAGGCTGTACCCTCTTGGAGAGCAGCAGGCTGGAATTGTCTTTGGAACAGTTAATTATGGTGCACATGCTTGAGGGACAGCCTCCTTGCCAGAATGGGCAAATTGGTCAAATCTCTTCCTGCAAATGTTTTTTGTTTTCTCCAATTTCAAATTAGTGCTAGAGTGTAAGAAAATAAACTGTAGTAAGCAATAAAATCAACACAATTAAGTCTGATAGATAAATTGAATTTTGTTGTTAAACACTAATTCAAAGATTATGTTAGGGTAGAGATGAAATTTTATAATAGTTTCCAAAATAATTATGAAAACTGGACAAAACTTGCTAAACTGTAAGACTGAATGATGTTAACATGACCTCTGTCTTCATAAAGAGGCTTTTAACTCAGTCAGGTTCTGCAGTCTACCTGAGGAAAATATATTTTTAAAAAATAAATCATGTCTTCTTAGCACTGCCTTTTGATGCTACAGTGAATGAGTCTTAAATCTGGAACTGTAATTAAGGTACTCACTTCATTCAAAGAAAATAATTCCTTTGGTGTTTTGCACGTTTCCCTTCAACTACAGCAGATATCAAAAGTCTGTTAATTAACAAAGATCGTTGAAAGGCAAAATAAAATGCTCTTTAGTGTTTCTGGTTTGGAAATAACAAGACAAAGCTATTTTGAAGTATTTAACATTTGAATGTAAAAGCCAAATCTTTATCCATGAATCACTGTAAATGATCTGATAATGTCAAACTGTGTCTAAATTGATAGAAATGACTTAAAAATTTCAAAATAAACTTAAATTTTCATTTAAAGGGTTTGCTTTTTATTTTGATAACTCTTACTGGGAATGCATTTTTAGTCTGCAGTGGCAAAGTGATGAAGACAGCAAAATGGGTGAGTTGTATTTCACTGTCAAACATTGAACAGACGAGGGGGGACAGTGTCTGAATGACTTAATTTGCTTTAATATTAGTTATTGGTGACTCCTGCTTAATGTTATTACCTTCTCTGCTTCCCCTCTTACTTCAGCATGCTTAAATGACTTCAAGACATTTCCATTCCTGTTTAGGTTAACTGACCTGTGCTTACAGTTCATGGATTGCAGCCATCCTTGCAAGTCTGTATTCTGAAAGAGCAAAGTTGAGAGACCTCTCAGTAAAATAATTGCTCTGGGTAACATTTGTCTGAGGAATGCTTTAGTCCTCTAAACTAAACGATGGTCATTCAATGTTCTGGTCACTTTAGCTGTTCTACACATTAAAAAGCAGTAAGTATTTTTAAAATTATCTCAGTGAAATAAGGCTTGTTGTTTTGTGCAAGTCAGTCTAATAATTAAACTTTCCTATAGGTAAAGTAGACTGCTAAGTGAAGATATTTTAAAAGTTCTAATCCATTTTTTTAAAAGAAGGAAAATACGGGGTTAATAAAGTGCTAAGGTCTGCAATTTGTACAAATTTTCTGCTTACTTCAGGTTTAGAAAGATCTTACATAGCCAGGCTTGTGGTCCAGCCTTTGGTGGTATGATGGTTTTGTGTGGATGTGCTGAATGGATGAATGTCTGAGGACTCCTGAGGGATGACTTCAGCTTAAAAATTGTTACATTTTGACAAGCATCAAAATAGTATCTTCTTAACAGCTAGTTCAGGTCTTAAGAAATCTACTTACTATAGAAATTAATTCAAATTAGTTCTCTCTAGATCCCACGTTAATTATTTTGAAGACTACACTAATCTGTTGGGGTTTTTTTCTCCAAGAATAAGTTTGCATTAGTAACACTAAATGTCTCATTCACAAATTGCAAACACTCCCAATTTGTTGTGTTTTAACACCAAATGTCAATTTTTTCCTGTATAATAAGGTAGCTTGTATCAAACATAAGTTCTCTGTGATACCAAAAACTCGGAAAATTAAAATTCTTCTCAACACTATGCAGATAGGAGAATGTTGTAAATTCTTCATTTTGATGCAACATACCCAAGGAGTACCTGTATGTAAAGGGAAAAAGAGAGTCTGAGTAGTTCTTTGGATTTTGCTGCTAAGTGTTGTTACCAGTTTGAGTGTTTTGTCCTCTGGTGGATGCTGGGTGTGGTTCATGATGAATTGTGCTCAACTCTGACATCCCTCAGTAATGCTGGGCCTTGTGCTGCCTTCCTTCACATAACTCAGTGAAAAACTTTAGTGTTACTAGAAACCTTTCTCTAAAGAAAAGACTGAATCAGAGTTCAGAAAACCCAGCTTGCCACCTTAGTAATATTAAATTGCACCTATTTGTGCAGAAATGGAGACAGTGATGGAGATTACATTATAAACTGTTTTACTGGGTTTTGATCTGTACAAATTTCCACTGGTTCTCAGTGCTAAGTCCTTAAACAGTGGGTGATCATTTAAACAACCCCAAACCTCTCCAGTTAACTTCCCATTGCTGTCTTTAGTTATGCCCTCCTGTTCCCAGGACACCCATCTGTCCTGGCTGCTCCAGGTTGTTTCTAGCAAGCTGTATTTTCTGAGGTGTCCATGGCAAGCCAATGTTTTAATTTTGATTAGCCAAACTTAATTTCAAAGTGTTTTTACCTTGCTGAGGTCATGTGTAAACTTAAACTATTTCAGTGAAATGAGATGTATATAAAGGATTTTATTTTACTATGGCTTATTTAGGATCTACTTTAAAGGTCTTCCTAATTAGATTTAGCTAGAATTACTTTTTAAAATAGAAAGAAGAGGAATTACTAGTTTTTTACCAACCTTAACTAAATCTTTGACAATGTATCGTTTTCAGAGTAAGGAGCTAAGGAAAACTTAACTGCAACAGATCAGAATTACTTTGCTTGAGGAAGAAAATTTTGAAGTAATGAGCTGTAGAGTGGATTCTACATGTAAGTGATTTCTCAGAGTCTAGTTCATGTAAAAACGAGGTGCTTCTCAAGTAAGCAGCTTGTGCAAGTAAGAATGAGGAAATAAATCTTGAGGTTGTGAAAACTGCCAAACACAGGAGCAAAAATCTTCCTAATATTTAATAGGTGAGTAATGTTAGTATCTACATCTATGCATCAGATTTATGACCACTATATTTTTATAATATGCAAGTTTAGGTATGGAATATCTGTGTCCACTTTAGTCACATTAGGCACCAACCACTGCCTTACGATCTGTACATATTTGTAAGACTTGTCAAACTAGTTTGCTGTAGTCTCCTAGTGAAAATGCAACCTACATCAGATCCATAAATAAATTACATTTGTAGAAATGCACTTTTTTTTTTAAGTGTTAAGGGTGCAGGCAATGTTTGTGGGGTGTATTTTCTGTTACACCAATATAATGTTTTAAGTGCAAAGTGCTAGCACAAATCTGGATTGGATGTTACATACAGCAAATTTATTTTATTTTGTGGAAAGTGTCTAACTACTGCAAGTATTTCATCAGCTTTACAGTCTTAAACATGTTTCCAGCTTTCAAACTGGAAAAGTCCAGCTCACTGTTTATCAGTCTTGACTCTACAAATTTACATCAGCTGATTCACTGTATTATAGATCTGAGCTGCTGTAACAAGATGTGTAATTTACTTACAACCTAAGAGAGAAGCTAACAGTGTCATGAGCTCTTGCCTATTCATGTTGTGCTGGCTGGCCTCGTTTCAAGTAGTTTAAATGGCATCATTTTCTAATACTTTTGTTCCATAAAAGCAATTATGGCTATTGTAAACATCAACAAAGATGGATTGGACGTTAAAATGACTGAATATTTTGTATGCTTGGAGGACACTTCTCAAGATAATTCTAACAGGTATAATTAAAGTTACATTGCTTCATACAAATAGTGCATATCAGTTTTACATCTTGTTTGCTGGTTTATGAGCACTGTTGGCTTGCAGAGTTTCAGCAGCATCATTTAGAGTGATATTTCATTTAGAGGAGAATTGCACTTAACTAATGGTTTTAAACAGGATGGTTACTGAATCTTTAAAACTGCTTGGAAGCCTACCTCATTCTGATGCAAGTAGTTTCTTGTGAAGATCATTTTAGGAATCAGACTGCAGAGTTACCAAAGTCTCATAGTAAATGCAACTTGACATGCCCCACCACTTCTGTTGGGAATTACACTAGATCTGTTCTTGGCAAATGCCTTCCCATGAAAAATATCTATTGGAATAATCTAGAAAATTGTCATAAATCTGTTTAGGCTGAGAAGTCATTATAAGGCAATAATTTCTTGATTTATCTGGTAAGAAATGAACAACTAAATGAAAATTGTCATAATAAAGTTCCAGTGGGTAACTTACTAGGCCTGGATTGTACCCAGAACTGTCTGGCCCTTGCTTGGATTTTTGGCAGCACTGTGCAGCACAAGATGATCCAGGTGTCTCTGTTCTGAGCACTGTAAATTTGAGAGAAAATACAGCTTTTATTAAACAACGAATTGGAGATCCTTGAGGGTCCCAATGACCCTGAACAGTTTGCAGGTCACCAGTACTACACGGGCTGGCAACTACATTTGTTGTAGTAAGAAAATGCAGTAAGAAAAGTATAATTATTTATTGTGGTCACTGTTTAATGGCAACAGCAAAATCGAGCTAGGAGCTAACTTGCAAGTGACCAATAAAATATTCCAGGGATACTCAGTACTTTCAAGTGTGCAAAATAAAAGAATTTCCTTAATCACGTAGCTAAGATTTCCAGCTAAAATCAGTGCCGTGACTTGATATGAAAATTGCATGGCTCTCAGGCTTTCTTGATTCTTGCTCTGTTGTGAGTTTCCTTTCATCTTACCAGCTCTGAGAGGGGTACCCTGCCATGTGGCTCCAATACAGCTTTTGTGGTTGGCCCTTCCTCCTTTGGGGTAAAACCTCAGAGTAAAATCTTGCAAGAAGACGTGCAATTACTAGCCATGCTCTGCCAGTTTATTTTTAGATTATTCTTTGTAGCTGTGTTTGTTCTTTGTCATTAAATCTTTCCCTAACTCATGCTGCCATTGCTGTTTACCTCAGTGCTGCCAAAATCTTCTGGCACGCTAGTAATGTGTGGATCCAGAAAATGCAGTCCTTGAAATAAAGGTGTTCCAGGAGTGCAATTCTGAGACATGCTTGTTCTGCTTTAGTCAAGTCCTCCTCAGACATCCTTAGTGTTTGACAGGTAAAGTCATCTGACTGCTTTAAATATACTTGGCTTGTAATAACGAGATTGAGTGTTGCTCAGCAGTGCTTTGTGCTGGCTTGAAAACAGAGTGTTCTTGAGAACTGGAGTGTTAGTGGGAAGGAAGTGAGGTGAACTGTGGGAACTGTTGGACACAATATTACAGAAAATTACTGCTTTCTGATAGGTCATCTACAATGTGCACCAGAAAAAAGTAGTCCCAAAACTCAAGTCAGCATAACACCATAGCCTTGTAACATGGAATGTCTCGGCCCTCTTTTGTAAATGCTGGGTCTGCACAGCACAGGTGTCTTGATCCACAGGATGCCTGTGCAGCCCAAACCAGGCTGGCACTGTGATCTTCGAGATCAGTTCAGTTTGGAGATGCACCTCTTCTTGTTGCTATGAAAGGTACAATTCTTTGTGTCCTGAAGAGAAGTGTTGTGTGATTGGGATATTAAAAAAAGCCAAAGTTGCCTGCTGCTGAGAGCCTCCTTTCAGAACAGGAATGGCTTGAAAGATTGGCCCAACAAATGGAGGCTGATACAGCAAGATTGGATCAGCATCAGTGTGTCAGAGTGATGAAGGGAAAACCATTCTGAAGAGTGGGATGAGCAGAAGTGCTGAATCCTCCCCACTTGCAAAGCTGTCTTTGAGAAGCAGACTTTCTAGAGAGGAAAGAATCC